GTCCAGATGGTTTTTTTGTTTCCCTTAAATGGGAATAATGCGAATCCTTCAATAAAAGTTGTATTAAAGTTTCTTGGATGTAGTCACATTCTTTTAAAATCCCTTGACTTTTATGAAAACACTAGCAGAGTACCCGTCCTTCGTACGGGGTTGGCATAAGTATAAAATGTTTATTGCAGTTATGCTCATAAGCTTTCTGATTGCAATGGGGAAGGACACAGTTTGATAACATTTGCTTCTCTAAATTTAAGGTATACTATAGTATTACACATCTACCATAGCCATAATGTTCTACCACTAAAAAAATATTATTACAAATTCTCAAAATATCACAAATTATTCATGAAATTAAAAACAGAAACATAACTGTAATCAATCCTTCTTTGACAGTTCTCATTGCGTATCACAGTTTTATAAATGCAAAAGAAATAGTGCAGCACCCTGTTGGTAAATCTAATAACTTTTTAAGGCTTTTGCATATCATAGAACAAACCTTTTTATTTGAAACAGCCGACTAAATTCTTATTTTATTCCCTTTAAATATTAATACTCATAAGATTAACATGGGGAACTACAGAGCCACTGGGGCGGAGCCCGAAAAGATTTTTGAGATAAGAATATGCCTATACATTTATGTTAATCGGAAATGTAAAGCTATCATTGTGCCAAATTTCAGCCCAGAACTCCTCCCTCATTTTAGGACCGATTTTGATGATTAGGGTAAAAGAAAATTGCCCTGATCTGTAGTTGTGCAAAGTGTTTTTCGTTTTTTGATATCTTTATTAGTTTGGGCAGGATCTTCCATCAAAGTTGGTTTCTCTCCCATAAGATTAACATGGGGGAATCTAAATATTTAATTGGAAACTTTGTTTCCACTAATTTGAGAGAACGGCTGGGCGTAGAAACTTGGTAGGAGGTGTCCAAAGAAAGGTTTTGGTCTGTAGATGAGTTATCATTATCAAAAGAAAAACGAAATAAATTCGCTTAGGACTCTGCCCCAGAAGCCTTTAAAGATCCCTCCACAGATTTGTTTACATTTCGGTCATGTGGATAATAATTTTTAATAAAAACAGCTGTTCATTTAAAAATTGTATTTTAAACAACACACACTGAATTGTCTAAAAGAATTATTTGCAATGTTATTTTCTGATTTTAAAATTGATTTTCTTCTGTATCATGTCATGTGTTGCAATTGGTTGCAATATAAAGTTCCATTACGAAATCAGTGGAAAATCCTTTTATCACAATAACTCTGTATACTACAGGCCCACTTTTATAAACGGGCAGACTGGGCATATGCCCAGGGGCGCCGGAGGTTTGGGGGCGCTCACCGGGTGCCCCTCAACCATCGCCTGTCCGCACTATTAATAGTAAAAAAGGGGGCACTGCTTTGGGTTTGCCCAGGGCTCCACTGACCCTTAACGCGGCCCTGTGTATACAAATAAGAACTTCAACTCTTAGAGAGCCTTTGAATGTTATTATACTAACAAAAAGGGTTATGCATGTTTACTAGCGCTACTCAGCAACAAAAACCATTTAATTTATCTCTAAAATATATATTCTTAAGGTGCACTGAGCAGCAGCCTAAAAATTCGATGTAACTTGCCCTTATAATATACAGTAGTTACAAAATGCTCATACTCGCATTGTGACATTTATAATTCGGCTTATAATTCTCCAACAGAAAATTCATCAGCAGAAGAATTTTATTGTACTCTTACCGTTTCTAATAACATCCAAACACAGAAACCCTGCCTAAAATGGTACCTGTCTTGACAAATTATTTTCAGTGGCCTATATTACGGACCGTGGCCCACTGGGTTGGTAACATTATTGAAAATAACACGACGATTTTGGCTGTAAAATGGCCCATTGAGTAAATACTATTCAAGCAGCTACTGTCATGACAGAAAGGTCATATTCCTTTTAAACTAGATCACATAATTCTTTATAAGATACGTTGATTAACAATGCATGTAAACGTAAATATTTACGTAACAGCCAATTAACATTATTTTTTGCTTTTTGGAAATGCCACATTACTGTGTCATTCGCATTATTTGTTTCCAATGAAGCTGCACGACCATATAAATGTGGAGGCTCCTAACAATCCGTAGAGAGATTATATTGACAACTTTATGTAACTGATAAGGCTGAGACAACTAACTATGACATCCCCCATGTCAAGGAATTCCAGCTTTAACAGTAACCTCAAAACCAATTTCTCAAAACTGTGCTAGAGGGTTATTCATCGGCACAGAAGTACGATATGAACTGACGCGACGTGACAAAGGAAAAATCAAACTTACACCACAGACAATGGAAACAAAGACAAAGTATTATATAGTCTGTGCTATTACCATTAGCGAAAAAATCTCTCATGGCAAAAATAATACGATCCTGATGAAATTTGTACAAACGTGTCGTGTAAACCTACAACGAATGAGTCCGCGAACCAACACAATTGGAATACGCGAAAATGAGTTTATGAGGGTAATAAGAATAAGGTAAAGATTTTTACATGGGCATAATGATTGAATTTCCAAACAAAATTTAAAATTTTAACCAATTGTAAATAGCTTATGTATGGCATGCAGAGGGAATTTTGTATATATTTTATGTATTTCTGTAATTGACGTAACCAATGCATAACTTATGTAAATCTGGTTGAATAAATCACTTATGACTTTAGAGTAAAATACCCCCGCCGCAGCAAACCTGCATACTAAGCGAATTTCCATTTGCCTAACTGGATTTACACTAAAGTGTCTCCTTTAAAATATCACGTAAACTATCGTACGTAACTCGTCCAAAATGTGTGTACCGGACTCGTATGGTAATCCCGTACTCGACTTCGTCTCGCACGGGAACGACCACACTCGTCCGGTAAACACACTTATTTTCAGGACTAGTAACGTAATATCGTATTACCGTGTACTTAGTCAGCTGTTGAAATAAACAGCTAATTTCAGCGGCCTATTTTATTTTCAGAAAAAAAATCTAATTTATGTTCTGTCCTAAATAAATTGTGTCGCACGAAAATCCCGTACTCGGCTACGCCTTCGATAAAACACCTTACCGCTTACCGGGCTAGTAACGTAATACAGTAGGCATATACTATTATTTTCTTTATACCTACTGCATTTAGATAAGGTGTTTAAGTTTCTTAAGCAGCCATTACAGTTTACAGGTGGTTCTGATGTGTGTTTCTAAATACTGCAACAACTCTATGATTTATTTTAAATACCCCCCCCCCCCGCAGAAAACCTGCAGACTAAACGAATTTCCATTTGCTTGATTGGATTTACACTATCTCCTTAAAATATCACAAAATTATTCCCTATTTCAATATTGCATTAGTTTAACAAGTACTTAGGAGTTAGGTACCTATGTTGTAACAGGGAGGGTTTTAAAGTTTTTTTTTTTTTTTTTTTTTTTATTATTACATGTAGGTAGTTTAGTATGAAATAAATGCATTTTCAAATTTTGATCAAAAGATGTTCATAAACAAGCTAACTACAACAGTTTACCTACTTATTCTCCATAAGAATAACATAGGGATTTTAAATTTAAAACTGTTTGAGTTTTCTCCGTAACCATAGGCGCATAATAATGCTTCAGTATACTAAATAATTTGTTTTTAAGCTCTACAAAATAGTTTGGAAAGAAATTATTGCAAAATTTTATGTTGTCATTGCTTGGATCGCCATATTGGCAATGGAAAGGTTAACAAAAGAATCAAAGCATCTGCAGAGGCAAATTAACGCAGTTTTTTCATTTTCTCATTTCCGGTGTAAGTTGCTGATACAAATGTACTACAACTCATTTAATATTTCAAAGTGTAACAATGAACAACGTAAAATTGTTATTTGGGTTAATCTGTTTTAACACTAAGCTAGCAAGTTAAATGAAAAAAACTATGTACTATATCATTATAATTTCAAATAAATGTATGATTGAAAAAACTTGGATGGATACCATAATCATCCTCTATCAAAGTTTGGCCTAGGTAGCACGTTTTAACTACCTTCTTACACGAAAAAAAACAGTCAATAAATCAAGTGCGACAAATGTCAAATTATTTTAAGCCTTCAAACGGAAGAACACATATTATATACACAAGATAGTTAAGATAGCATTCACAAATTTGAAGGAGACTGCAAGCGCCGTGAATAGAAGTCGTTCGGAGTTTAAAAAAGAACGACTCTCATTATACTCAACCGATCTGTTCAGCAAGAGCTGTTCACCTTCAATTTGAATCTCCCGCTCTTTGTCGATCTGTTTTGCTTGTCGACATTTTGCGTGTCGATAAAGTGGGAAAATTTACACAACCGTCCCACATAACAGACATCCCACATAACCGACATCCCACTTTACAGACATCCCATATTACCGACACTGTCGACATTTTGAGTTGTCGACAAAGTGGGACTATTTCAGTGTCGATCTTTTGGGATGTCGATAAACTGGGACCCCACGAATAAATCTATGTACGTTTAAATAATATATTATAATCATTGGTAGTTAAAAGGGGATTTTGATAGAATTTGCCGGTTGGATGGAGGAGAGTTGGGGGATTTGCTTTAGATTTTTATGGCTTGGTGGAAAATTGGAGGATTTTTGCTTCTGCTGGGGTCCTGGGGACAAAATGGGGGTTTTTCCTCGTCAGCACATATAATAAGGAGTGAATAAATAATGTATGTATGTCATAGTGTAATATAATCACGGAGAGTGAATTTTTACCCACACACTATGGCATAGATAGGAATGAATTCGGGATATTTGGTAGTTAAATGGGATTTTTGTAGAATTTGGATGATGGATGGAGGAAAATTGGGGACTTTCTATAGATTTTTATGACTTGGCGGATTATTGGAGGACTTTTGCTTTAGCTGGGGATAAAGTGGGGATTTTTTTCTTAGTCAGATGGGGAATTGTCACAGGTGGTAACACTGCCGAGGTCATAAAAAATATTCATATATTATTTATTTTGTGATTTTAAAATAATGTGGAATGTGAAAAAAATCAGCTAAGTTAAGCTAAGCTTAGGTTATCTCCAGTCCTATTGTAATTAATTGTGGTTTCTGGTTCAATCATATTTGATTGATGTTTTTAACTAAAACAATAGGCCTAATATTTTATTATTATTAAATTTGTCCCGAGATATGTGAAGGGAATTGTATAAATCTTAATACTACCACTACCTACCCAGTAAATTTGTGCAAGAAGTTATAAAAATGGTGAAATATTCAGAATGGAGAGATGTATTGGATTATAGTTGGAATCAAGTTGCCCAAGCATTTTGGAAAAGATATCCCAATCCTGACAGGTAAATTTTGGAAATAACTTAGGTAGGCTTAGCTTACGGTATACCTACCTAAATCTATTTAATTTTTATTGATTTAGGTTTTCTGTTTAGATGTTCAGGGAGGGTCAGTTTCTTAACTGGGCTATTCTAGGCAGCCTAATATCGATTGTAACTATCGAATTGAAAATATTGATTAATAATCGATATTTTTAAATATAGGCCTATAATGAAATTAAACTGTCATAACCTAACTTAACCAACGTAACTTGCTGATGGTGAAAAAATTGCATGTAGGTTTGGCTGCACTTTACTTGACGTCCTACACTCATTCGAATGAAAATATCGATCGCTTCATTCGATATATCGTTTGATTAGTTAGGTAAGGTTAACCTAACCTAACTAACCAAACAATATACACAGAGGATACGCGTCCGGTAACCGGACGTGGATTAGGCGTCCGGTAACCAGACGTGGATTAGGCGTCCGGTAGGGGGTCCCGGAACGCCATTACCACAATGATACGATGTTCAGCCATCAGTGTTCGTGGTGTTGTGGATAGAGAGCTCGACTGATATACGAGAGGTCCCCGGTTCGAAACCTATCGGTAGCTTTAACTTTTTGTCACAGATTTTTCTTTGAATGTAATTTCTTCTTAACTGTACATCTTTTGTTAGAATTTTTGGCATTTATAATTTTATGTTATGATGAGAATTGAACCTTCATTTGATTTTTTTCACTATCAGCAAGTTTGGTTGGTTAGGTTAGGTTATGACAGTAACTGCCGGACGCCTAATCCACGTCCGGTTACCGGACGCGTATCCTCTGCGAACAATATATCGAATGAAACATTCGAATGAAAATATCGAATCGAAAAAACAATCGAATGAGTGTAGGTAGGACGTCAAGTAAAGTGCAGCCGTAGGTTTACTAATCGAATCGATAGCTTCAATCGATATTAGCATAGGCCTAGGTAACCCACTTAAGAAACTGTACCCTGTGTGTGTGTTTGAATAATATTGTAATAGGCCTAGGCTAGGCCTATATAGCCTATAAGTTAATAAGGTAATTTTTCAAATAGGCCTACCTATAGATAAACATTAACAAAATTGGTAATTATATCGACCTCCGGTATAATTAATCCTTATACTACCACATAGCGCTAGCGTTGCGGGAGACTCTAAGCCATTGTGGAATGCGGGCTTTATTTTAAATTAGGATTGGTAAGGTTTGGTTAGGTTACGTTAGGTTAGGTTAGTTTATCAATAACATGAGTATTTTAACTATGTAAACTAACCCAACCGAACCGAACCTAACCTAACCTAACCAAACTTAACCTAACCTAAACTAACCTTAATTTAGGAATTTAGGTAGGGTTACTTAACCTAACCTAACCAAACTTCTAACCTAAACTAACCTAACTTAGGAATTTAGGTTAGGTTGGTTTAGGTTAGGTTAAGTTTGGTTAGGTTAGGTTCGGTTGGGTTAGTTTACATAGTTAAAATACTCATGTTATTGATAAACTAACCTAACCTAACTTACCTAACCTAAAGTAACCTAACCTAAGTTGTTAGGTTAGTTTAGGTTAGGTTAAGTTTGGTTAGGTTAGGTTAAGTTAGGTTAGGTTCGGTTGGGTTAGTTTACATAGTTACAATACTCATGTTATTGATAAACTAACCTAACCTAACTTACCTAACCTAAAGTAACCTAACCTAAGTTGTTAGGTTAGTTTAGGTTAGGTTAAGTTTGGTTAGGTTAGGTTAAGTTAGGTTAGGTTCGGTTGGGTTAGTTTACATCGTTACAATACTCATGTTATTGATAAACTAACCTAACCTAAAGTGACCTAACCTAAGTGGTTAGGTTAGGTTGGGTTAGATTAGGTTAGGTTAAGTTTGGTTAGGTTAAGTTGGTTAGGTTTGGTTGGGTTAGTTTACATATTTACAATACTCATGTTATTGATAAACTAACCTAACCTAACCTAACCAATCCTAACCTAAAATAAAGCCCGCATTCCACTATGGCTTAGAGTCTCCCGCAACGCTAGCGCTATGTGGTAGAATAAGAATAGCCAGCGGCCCGCTTTTCCGGTGTTATTTTACTTAATAGTGGTCCGATCATAATAATTCTTGTTCAGGAGGAAATTCCGCACAATTTGAGTACCCACAACATGGGTTTTGAGCAAACAAAAATTTTCCCGTTTTTCCCACTTTCCGGGAAAACGGGACGTTTCCGAAAAAAACGACAATCATTTTTGAAATCAGCGTGAAATTTCGACCATTTTGAAAAAAAAAAAAATAATTTCGCGTGAGGTCCGGAGGTCGATATAATTACCACAAAATTAAATATTTTGTAAATGGATGATCAATTTAACAGCAGTATTACTTTGCTGACTATAATAGAAGAAAATTCACAAATAATACCTTCTTTTACCAACAAAGGAGCTAGTAGACCTAATAATCCTGTGTTAATTTTGTCACTAAGGTAGGCCTAAGATTTATAGGCCTACATAAAAAATCCCTAAAATGCTGGCCTAAACCCATCTTTACAAACAGTTTCAATAGAAATTGGTTAATTTAACAATCAATAGGCTATTGTTATATTTTAAAAAGTGAATTAACCTCAATTACAAATTGTGTAACAATCCGTAAAATTGTCTGATAATAGGTATGATTGAGATTCGTGTTAATATTAGACTAATATGTATTTGGTTATTTTCATTTTGTTTGACGGTTTGTATAGCTCGGAAATAACAAATAAGTTTTTTTTATTATAACAGTGTCTATTGTAATTGAGTACATAATCTTACATAAACTGCAGAATTATAGGGTCCTCAACCATTTCAGTAAGAAATAATCATGCTCATCAATAACCATGAAAATTAACTTAATGAGTCTTACCATTGATAAGTAGAAAAGAGTGGAAATTGTGATAAGATAATGGCAGTATTTGTCTGATTGGAAAGTGCCAGTCAAGAGTGGCCCTTTACAATCATTTTCTACAAAAGAGCTATATAAATGGAAATAACAAACAATCGTCATGTACCAATAATGTAAAAATATCAGCATACAAATTTTATTTTTTGGAAAACCCATCGATAAATTCCTTTCCCTGATGTAAAAAGGTAAATATTTTTAACCAGTTATTCACGTAAAATACAAAAAACTATGAATACAAAAACGTTAGGCTAACTTTATTTTAATTTGAGAAAATGTGAAAGACGTGATAAAATACTAGGCCTAATACAATTATGTTTTTTCACATCATTCTCATGTAAAAGTGGGTCGTCTTCGCAAGCTCAAACAACCAATACATTCTGGAACAGTGGCCAGGTTCTGAACCAGTACTGGCCAGGTTCTGGAACAGTACTGGCCAGGTTCTGGTACAGTACTGGCCAGGTTCTGGAACCTGGGCCAGAACCTGGCCAGTAACTGGATTTTTTCACTAGGGATGGTCTATTGGTGAGGTATTTTTTCATGTGTTGGACAAGTATTGTTTTTGAGTAGGCCTAGCTAACATACCTACGTTTAAATTGTTGTGGTAGCAGATAGTAGAATTGGAGCCTGTAAGTAGCCTATATTGCTGGAATTTAGAGAGTCTATGTTGGGGTGGATCTATATTTCCTTTTGTGTCTTGTATCAAGTGTATGGAGTTCTTGTCTGCGGACTGGTGTTAAGTTTATGGAGTACTTAAATTATGGTTTCTAGGATTCTATGAAATTTGGCCAAAGGTAGGCTATTTCAAACCTAACTTATGCTCTTTTAAATTATAATCACTAAAATATTCTCTTGCAAGGCCTAAGTTGGTTTCTATGAGTTTAGACGTGTTAAAGAACCTCTCACATCTACTCAAAACGCAAGTGCCGCTTGGAAAATTAAAAAATCACTAAAATCACTGCTAGCTAAAATCTCTTTTCTTTTTTGTACAATACCATATGGCAACCCTAGAAAAACTACTTTTAGGTATGTTGCGTTACTATCGATATCAGTAGGTACCGATCAGGGCCGCGTTAAGGGTCAGTGGAGCCCTGGGCAAACCCAAGAGCAGCGCCCACCTTTTTTCCTAGTGGTGGTTTGGGGGCACCCAGCGGGCACCCCAAAACAACCGGCGCCCCTGGGCATATGCTCACATATAGTGTACAAAACATTCTAAAGAATAAGCTCAGCAAATTTGATTTGTAAAGCACCTATATGCGTTTTTTAATCCGTGGTCAAAGTTGTACTAGCCTATGTGATTTGAGGCGTACACTTACTCCTCTTGACCTTACTTCAAAATTTTTTGAGAGCATCAAGTATACCTTTCCTGTTTTTCCTCATAGTGCCTGTAATGTAAGTCATCCTTTCATACAGATAATCTGCCAAAGGTATGGACATGAAGATATTATCTAGGTCTAAAGAATTTATGAAATCGTCACTCACCTCACCAATTGCACACCAATCCCTGTCAAGCTATGAAATATTGTGTCTTTTACTGTAAACTTATTTTGACCAAGTTTAGTCATATTTACTAACTAAAAACGCATTTAACTTAACGCTATATCGGACCGCGGCGGCCAAAGGGTTAACTTGAGTGTCAGGCGGCATAGGCTAAAAGTAATTTAAAAAAATCAACTGGACATCAAAATAATCCTCCAAGGAATAGAAGGTCTGTTGGCAACACCACATCTTTAACTTATTTTTTAACAGTTTCGGCTCCAGGTTCTTAATAGGCTATTCTCTGGCAGTCTAAATTTAACTTATTAAAATACAGTAGACTCCCTCTTATCCGGACACCTTTTAACCGGACTACACTCGGCAGAAATGACATCTCTTTAACCGGACAATTTTTATCAGCACATCGGTTTAACCGTACCAGATCGGCAGGAAGTGGTCGGTACTGAAACGACTGTTCTCGTGGGAAGATTTGAGACCATCAATCACGTGTATAAATACAATGCTCTCCTAAATTTAAGTCAAATACTGTATACATTATGCATTGAAACGATCCGTTTAAACAAGTTTTTGGGGACGTCGGTTTAACCGGAAAACCCGCTATCCAGACTGGCCTCGGTCCCGAGGAGTCCGGATAAGAGGGAGTCTACTGTAGGCAATATCAGAGAATATTATGTCACAAAATTAAGGTTTTTAAGTTACTTAATCCTACTTTTAGGCAGGTCGCACACTGAGTCCTCTCAGTTCAGTCCGCTACGTTCAGTCGGTTCCGCAAATTTCTAAAACCATGTATGCAAGTGTAGGGCCGCACACTGGGTCCGTTCCGTCAGTTCAGTCCAGTCCGCTCCGTCAGTCTCAGCCACTTTTCGGTTAGCGAGCGATTTGGACAGAAGGACTGGAGGCACTGTGCATGTGCAGCAGTAAATCAGCCAGTGAGGTGATGAAACGGAGATGAAACGGAAAAATGAAACCTTTCCATTTTAATTCTTCATTTTAATGTAGGTAGTTTTATACATATCCAAAATGAATTATATCAAAAACGTCTTCTGGGCCCGTAACCTGATGAAACGAGGGAATAAAATACATAAAATACTTTATTTAATAACCTAATTGGTGTAAAAAGGAAAGATATTAAAACATTAACACTTCAAACTATGAACATATTACAACTACATAATATAATCAAGCAGCTGATATAAAAAGATACATTAAAAAGATATTTGATTATATAGCACAAGCAAAACAATACTAGGCTATAAAATCCTCAACATGATGTGACACTGTAAATCAGGCAGTGATGTGCAACTGTATTCAGGTGGTCTGACACATGTTCGTAGTAGGCCTACTGTGATTATTTATTAAAGATGAGTTCCGATGAACGATTTATTTCTGTTGTACAAACGTATCCATCCATTGTTGTACGACCTGTCACACAAGGATTACTACAATATTACAATGAAGGAGGTGATCATCCTCTTCTGCAGCTAGTGCCAATGCTATAACAGCAATTTCTTCGTAACTACTGCTAGAACTCATAATCGCGCTAACGGAAACCCCGGCACAAATTTATAATTTACTTGCAACAATAATGACAGTGTCTGTGATTCACTGGCGTTGGCGCTCAAAAACGGCTTAACTGAGAGGACCGAACTGACGCAGTGTGTGGGGAAAATGCCGGAACTGAGCTGACTGACCTGAGCTGAGCTGAGCGGACTGAACTGAGCGAACCCAGTGTGCGACGTGCCTAAGATAGCCTATCCAAAAATGTTCAATAAAGTTATGAGAAAACTTAACTGTTCATTCCCGCGTGATCTTTCAAAGTGAATAGTTGAATCTTTAAAGGTTATCTTGCAATTAAAATTTACCCGGTTGCTTCCTGTCTAACTTTGTGTGTTCTATACAGGTAACATAATTCTAATAATATCTATAATTAATCTACCTTTTCCATTTCAAATTTCCTCTCAATCAAATCTCTTTATTAGGCTAACTAATTTTCATTCAAAACCAAATCACATTCTTCATTCTACCATATATATATCGGGACCTGTTACAGGTATAGCCATGACACATAATCACATGGATTCAAGTTATCTTCAATTAAATTTGAACAAAAATAAACTTGAAACAGACTTAGTGGTATCTTCTATATTATTACACAATAAAATATGTCAAATGAACACAGTGATTCAGGTTCATTATCACCCCAAAATACAAAAAAAAAATCACTCAGAAGAAGCCAGATACAGCTGCCCCCTCAATAAAGGACCCTTTGAAGTCATCATTACGAAAGAGGACAAAACCAAAATCAGTCCTTTCACAATAGGAAATTTACTGAAAACAAATAATAAAATCAGCTCAGTACAAAGATCTGGTAATGTAACTATTTAGCCTACTGCAATGACTACATATCTGCCGATGATCTATTGTTTTGTAATAGTCTAAAAAGTTATAATTTAACCATGTAAATGGTAACCATTCCAACAAAAATTGACAATTGTACAACCATGAAACTAACAAACTGTTCATTTCAGATGACAATAGCCTACTAACCCGAAGGAAGCAACCAAAATGAAAAAGTTATATTTAAAATATTGAACCACGCGGCAGCATTGTTTTTACCGAGCAAAGCCGGCCATTTTTGCCAAAATAAAGGAAGAAAAAAAGACTAATAAACTGTATTAGGCCTATTGGCGAATTTAGTTTAAGGGTATATCTATAAGTGAAATGAGATAGAACGAGAATAGGAGACCGGTGGAACAAGATTAGTATTTTGATAAAAAAAATTATAGTTTATTCCAGAGAGAGCAGTTTGAAGCTCTTGGTAGAAAGGGGGTAATTTTTCAAAATGAAGAAGTTCTCCCTTAGTTTGACTTCAGTTGTCCCATATGTCTAATTGCTGTAGCATAGCAAGGCCACACTAAAAAAAACAGGCCGTAATGCTTGTCAAGCATGACGTCACGATAAAAGAAGGCAATGACGTAGGTATTTATTTATTTCAAATCAAATCAAATCAAATTATCTTTATTCATCAAGTACATTAGAAATATATACATGAATAGTGTCACATTTCTTATAAGTTATAATAAAATATACGTATGCTTATAGTAAATGGGAAAAATTGTAAAAGAACATAAAAAACAAAAAAAACAAAATTATTTTCCTAGGAAAGATTAAAACAAGCAGCTTATCACAAATGGCAAACATTACGTCATTGCTGTCTTCTATCGTGACGTCATGCTTGACGAGCATTACGGCCTGATTATTTAGTGTGGCCTTGAGCATAGGTGATTTGGCCATAAGAATGGATTTTATCCTTAATAACTGTTACAATACGGAAAAATAATATTGTAAGTTTTAAGGTCATGTTAGCCCTTAATGAACTCCCAACTTCAGCCAGTTCATAATAAAACTCAAAAATATGTTGGGGAAAGCCGATGGGTATCAGCTACTTTTCTTATAAATTTCATTTTAAGATACTAGTAAAGGTAAAAATTGATTGTTATATACTGTTTCAGCTTGCATGTTTTATCAGAAGACACTTTGAGCAGGGAAGTTAGAGATGGGAAGCTGTATACCAAAAGGCTCCTTAGCAAAACAAATGTTCCACCAAAATGGGCTGAGAGACTGATAAAAGCAAGAATTGTTAATATTTTAGAAGAATCTGTTGTTGATCCAAAAGAAAAAACCCTGACGACATATACAAGAAATATTGGTTACATCAAAGTAATGGTGAGTAGCATTAATCTTTCCATAAGACAAGTTTGGATATGGGCCTTGTATGAAATGGCTAGAAATTGTAGCTAGTAAATATTACACTAACATGTTTATATAAGTGAACAAGGCTGCCTTGAGGAGGGCATGATCTTAAATCATTCGAAGGCCATTTATTCCCCATTTCAATGTTTACTTGCTAATTAAATTCCATTTCCGTAAATTAATACGCTACATACCAAAAACATGTCTAATTAAATTTCTGTTATTAAAATACCTAATCAAAATGTATATTTTCAATTTTTAGTAAATTGCCAAAGTGCCGCCCCTTAAATTTTTCCGCTTTAGGCTGCAGCCTATTTAGAAATCTGGCCCAGCCTACCATCCTCTTACAGACCTCTCTGTATGTTGGTCACGGCTGGGAAAGTCTTTGAAAAGTTGATCAGTTCCCAATTGAATTCTGTGGTTGCTGCGGGAGACCTTTCCCCTCGTCAGTACGGCTTCAGAGTCCTTTTGGAGGCTGGCCATCTTGAATAATTTCAAACAGCTGTTGAAGAGTTATTTATCGTCCAAAAATATTTTTTCAAACACCAAAGTGATGGTAATTTAAATATCTAGTTAACTGTGGGATTAGAAATGTTCAGATATAGGTAGTCAATGTTGTAGACAATTAAGGGGCGGTTCACAAGTCACGGGCTATCCTTAGTTTGAGCGCAAAATCCAGTTATAACCAGTTTTTTGCGCCGCGGCTTAGAAATCGGGTTTACGAGTACGAGGTTACCCGCGCTCGGGCGCAGTCAGTTAAACTTCATCCAATTATGACAGGGATAAACCTGAGCGCAAAAAGTCGGCTTCACGGGTTCAATTAGAGAAAACATCATGTCAGGATTATCTCATTTGCTCATTTATTGTTTTTTTGTTAGTAAAAAGAATGTTCTATTTGAATTCGCCATTAAATTCTGAACAATTTCATTACCCTCAACATGATAATTATTTTTTTTCAATTTTTTACTACTGACTGTCGAAAACATACGAAAAATTGTAAAAAGTTGGTGTTTTTAATTTTAATCAATTACTAAATACTTTATACTTTACTTTACTTTACTTTCTTATGAAATGGCGACCATACAATAGTAGTGGTGACCTGGTGGAAACGCGCGTAACAGCTGTCGGGCAGATGTTAGCAGATGTTACAAAGTTAATTAGTTTAAAGGGCATAAGGCGGAAATGACGTAAAAATCCGGAAATGGCGTTCGATTTGAGCTGACGTCACGATGGATGATCATATGATGTTCAAGGTCATTTGTTTGTGTTTTAAAAAAGGAAGCTACCCTACAACACTTATAGTGTAGGATAGCTTCCTTGTTTTGTTTATTGTTTATTTGTATAAAACATGAGGAATGACAATAACTTACATACTATTACAATTAATAAGGAAAACATGTGCGAACGTACGTATCTAGAGTGAGCGTCTGCTAAAGTGTAAAACGAATGAGTTTATTGGTGGCCTTTATAAAGGCCGTTTTGTGTAGCTCGGCGACGCTTGTGTATTTGGATGTTTACTTCTTCAACTCCTCTATTGTATTATGGAGCTCTTTCCATCTTGCCATGTCTGCATTGTGCTCGGCCCATTCGATGTCGTCTCGAGGCTGAGCGCACCAAACACGATCAAATTTGCGTCGAATCTCTTTCTCCTCCTCTAGCAGTTGAAGTAGTTTTTCTTCCTTTCGTTTTCGCTCCTGCTCTTCTGCCTCGATGCATGCTTGGTGTAGGTCAGAGTCTTCAATATCGCTTTTCCACTGTTGTTGTTGTCGTTGTTGTTGGTTGGCCATCTTGTGCAAAGTAAACGAGAGAGGTTGAGTTGACTGGTGAAGAGCTGGATGCGAAGTGACTGTTGCGAGTAAAGAAGTGCAGGTCCCTGACGAAGTGGGCGGAGCTAAAGCAGTAGGGGTGGGGGAAAGTAGTAGAGGTGGGGGAGAGCAACATGAGGGCATCATTCCATCCGTTTTAAAAGTATTTTGATTCTACGTCCCTTGTCTTGTGAGTGATGTTTCAGTTTTTCTTGATACGTTTTACAATTACATTGACAATAGGAGAAAGATTCACATTTTTTACAAGCCATTCCATCTACTTGACATTCAGGTGTTTTGAAACACTTAAGATTACAACAATAGTATTTTAAATCGTATTCCGATTTGTGATCAAAAGATGAATTGGAATTACACTGTGACATGTTGCTCGACTGAATTCTAAAACAAGAATGAGAAGCAATGTGTTGTGAGCTTCTATTTATAGTGCAAGAGTCAGCAGCTCTCACAAGTTAGTCTACATTTTTCCATAGTAGGTTAACCATTTGTGTTAGATCGTGTATGTAATTTTGATGCTTGTCTTGATATGTTTTACACCTACATTTGCAATAGCCAACAGACTCACATTTTTTACAAGCTTTTCCATCAACTTTACTTTCAGGCTTTCTAAAACATTTTAAATTACAACAATAGTTATCCAAATCGTATTTGGATTTGTAAACAAAAGGTAAATTGTATTTACGCTGTGACATGATGCTCGGTGAATTGTTAAAACAAGACTGAGAGCAACTGCGTGTAAGACCTGTTATTTATAGTAAAAAAGTTCAAGGTCATTTGTTTGAATTTTAAAAAAAGAAACAACATATCAGCATATAGAATTAATTATATGCTGATATGTTGTTTCCTCTTTTAATTTTTTTATTTATTTTTTTTAATGACAAAAACATTTAACAAACATATGTACATAGATGGTTATTTACAGAAAAAAACTTAAAACTAACATTGATGGGTGATGTGTAGAGATAGTTCAGTGGAATTGTTTCCGCAAACTCCGTGTGATACCAAATAGAGGGATCCTGGTTGAATACCTCGCAGGTCTTCGTTTTGTAGTTGCTGTACAAATCGTCTTGGAAGATAAACTTGAAATTTCGGTTCATCACCTGGTGAAAACGGTGCCTCGCTCAGTGATGCTAAAATTGCGTCTCCATGTGAAGTTTCTGTCTTCTTCAGCTCGTGAACGATGTAGTGTTTGTGTTCCTTCAATTCGTGACATTTCTTAGTACTTAGAATGCTGGATTTGGACTGGGTGTTGAACTGATCCACCAAAGACTGGAGAAACTGTTGTGAAGCCATTTTCTTGATTAGGACTACCCTGTGAGATGTTGCCTCTGCGATGTCTGGAGTAATACTGATGAGGATCCTGAGACTGTCCACTGTATTTATAGCACACGTTCCCCCCTCCACTGCTATTTCCTTCGTAATACTTCCACTGTTGCTGTTTGAATTTATTTTTGTCCCAATAGTGAAGAACTAGAAAATTAGCTAATCGGTATGCGTTTTGTAGTGCACATTGTGTTACTGTGCGATAAGAGTGATCTGTTAAAGTACAAATAGGTCCATAATTAATTTGATGATCCTTGTCCATTCTTATGTCGAAAACATCGTGATATGTATATTGTTGTATCCATTGTCTTTTTTCCGATCCTCTTGTATAAATATGGGAAAACTTGTTAGAAAAATGATACATGATATTGTTCAAGTGCTTATAGCTTATCAATCCTTCGTTCCACTGAATATGGTGAAAATGTTTGGTTATCCATTTGTTTGTTCTTCTTGCTTTGTCATTCAATTGGTTTACTGAAAATGGAGCTTCAAATATAAACGGGTATACGACATGTGTAATCAAATCTAAAATCACTAATTCTTTTATCACAAATTCATCTTTGTTATCACGAAATGCTTGAAATTCTATTACACAGGGTTTTATATCCATAATGTTTAACCCTATCTACACACCACCACGTATAGTGTTCAACTGAATTCACACCGCGCCTTGGTCACTCTTTTATACTGTTTTTCTTTAATTACACTTCTTGGGTTGCTGGTTCTTCTTGGTTTATAGTTTCATATTCTTCAACAGCTTCTATCGCTTCTATCGCTTCTTCATCAATTGATTCGAAGTTCCTTAACTGTCTCCACATACCAACTTCATGAGGCAATCTATTAAAAATAGATGTATCCACGTGTCCGTATAATATGGTGCTTTCCGGTTGTTTTTCCAGTGTATCAATTAAATACTCTTTGATGATTGAACTTGAGAATACAAGTTGTTTCATATATCTAGAGATAGGAGACGTTGCATGCATTAAAATGTAGAATTCTTCACGTGAGAGTAAAATTTTACTTTCATGTTGAGTTAAATCTCTAAATCGTACTTGTAGTGTTCCACGATTCTTTACTATGTCAATTTCATTGTCAGAATCCAAAAGTCGAATATTAGTTTTCCTTCCGCAAACATTAGTATTTAAGTAACATTCAATTAGATTTAAATGTTTTAGAAAAGATTCCCATGCCGTTTCAGAAAATATAACCATTTTTGTACCATGCTGCAAGATTACCGTAGGTGTATATTCCGAAGATTTCATTAGTCCAGCTGTTACACTTTTACCCAAACATAGTGAGATAGGATAGTAAATGCGTAGGAAAACTTCTTTCAAAATATTAATTGGGATTGTATCTTCATCTTTCCGCTTCCTTTTAGTGCCATTTTTTTTAGTTTTTTCTTCTTTTTCTTCCTTGTCCTCCTTGTCTTCTTGTTTTCGAAACTTTAAAAACTCTTCTATTTCATTGACGATTTCTTGATGGTTTTCTTGATCCAATAATGCTGCTTCCTCTGCATCCTTTTGTACGACTGATGGAGAACTCATTTTACTCATGATGTAGTGTAGGATGTTACCCATTCAACGAACGAGCAAAGACTGATTGGTGGTGTGCGAAGCTCCTCCTTTTATAGCCGACTGGTGGTTGTGGTGAAACTCATTTACAACACTGTTTTGACTAATCCCGTCAATGGTGTGTACGTTACAATTTTATCATGCAAAATTAAACAATATGCAGATGTTGCATCAGGAACGTTCTCTTCAAACTCCATTTCTATTTTTATATCCACACTTGATGACTTTACAGATTCGTTTTGTTTTGAACAATCTA